TAACCACACTGGCATCAGCGCACCCACCAATATCGCCCCTAGTCGCCAACCATCACCACAGCCACCACAACTACAACCACGCAACCACACCGAGGCCACCACCAACAACCACAAGTCAACCGCAACAACATCATCATCATAACCAACAGCAGCAACAGCAGCAGCAACAGCAGCAGCAACAACATCATCATCATCATAACCAGCAACAAACATCCCCTCCATCTTCACCGTCGTATCCGCTGTATTCCCAACCCAAGAAGAAAGCTCACAACAGCTATCTCAATAGCAATATGAACAACAACAACAACAACAACAACAACAACAATAATAATAATAATAACGACGATGATGATGATGATGACGATAACGGAGGCAGTTATGATAATAGTCGTGCTGGAGGTTGCACGGAGGCTGATTTATCGAAGATGCAATGGTGGGACGATTATTTTTATTATTTACTACTAATAATAATGGTGATTGCAATAGTTATTATTATTGTCACTAATATTGATTCGTCGTCATCATCATCATCATCCTTATCATCATCATCATCACCACCACCACCATTCCAATAACCATCACCAACCACCACCACCATTCCCATCATCATCATCATCACCACCATCACCATCCTAATCATCATCACCATCATCTTTACCATCATCACTACTCTAATCCTCATCATCACCACTCTAATCACCATCATCTTTACCATCACCACCATTCCAATCATCATCACCACCACCATCATCATCATGATGACCGTCCTCAGGTACGTTGGCGAAATGAGCAGAGACGACTCTGCCTCGAAGCTCCTACCGACGAGATCCGGAACATTCCTGGTCAGGCTGAGCGTGGGCCATGATAGAAGAGGCGAATACGCCATCAGTTTGAAGTTAGTGGAATGAAGGAATAGATGGAGGAATGAATGAATGAAGGAATGAATTGTTGGATGGATGAATTGCTGGATCTATCCATCTATCTATCTTTCCATTTGTAAATTAATTAATTTATTCATTCATTCTTCCAGTCATTCATTCTTTCACTCATTCATTAATTCTGCCAGTCATTCATTCATTCAACCATAATTGTCCAGAATCGGTGACAAAGTCAACCACATAAAGATATTCAACGATAAGAAGAACAACCGACACATCCAGTCCTACTACCTCTGCTCCAACCAAACATTCCCATCCATAATTGTATGTGTGTGTGTATGTATGTGTGTTTGTATGTATGTGTGTGTTTGTATGTATATTGTGTGTGTGTGTAGCAGGGATTTGATGAATAGTGAACTTTGAACTTGGCTGAATAGGTGATAAACTAAACAACAAAATTCATTCATCCATCAATTCATTCATTCATCCATCAATTCATTCACACATCAATTCATTCATTCATCCATCAATTCATTCACACATCAATTCATTCATTCATCCATCAATTCACCCATCTATTCATTCATTCATTCAGGAATTGATTGAGCATTACCAATCGAACTCTCTGGAGAAGGTGTTCTCCGAAGTGAAGATGACTCTGCAGTACCCTATACATTCTGTCATAATGAAGCAAGGTTGGTTGGTTGGTTGAATGGTTGTGATTGGTCAGTTGATTGTGTGGTTGATCGGTTGGTTGAATGGTTGTTTGTGATTGGTCAGTTGATTGTGTGGTCGGTCGGTTGGTTGGTTAATTGGTTGGTTGAATGGTCGGTTGGTTGATTGTTTAATCAAACATTTATTCTATCTTCTAAACCTATTCAACCAACCAACCAATCACAACCAACCATCCAACCAACCAATCACAACCAACCATCCAACCAACCAATCACAACCAACCCACCAACCAATC